CGCGGTCCTCAAAACAACTGTTGTTGTTTGTCGTTTAGTCGTGTCCGACTCTTCGTGACCCCATGGACCAGAGCACGCCAGGCACTCCTGTCTTCTACTGCCTCCCGCAGTTTGATCAGACTCATGCTGGTAGCTTCGAGAACACTGTCCAACGATCTCGTCCTCTGTCGTCCCCTTCTCCTTGTGCCCTCAATCTTTCCCAACATCAGGGTCTTTTCCAGGGAGTCTTCTCTTCTCATGAGGTGGCCAGAGTATTGGAGCCTCAGCTTCAGGATCTGTCCTTCCAGTGAGCACTCAGCGAGCACTCAGGACTGATTTCTTTAAGAATAGATAGGTTTGGTCTTCTTGCAGTCCATGGGACTCTCAAGAGTCTCCTCCAGCACCATAATTCAAAAGCATCAATTCTTCGGCGATCAGCCTTCTTTATGGTCCAGCTCTCACTTCCATACATCACTACTGGGAAAACCATAGCTTTAACTATACGGACCTTTGTTGGCAAGGTGATGTCTCTGCTTTTCAAGATGTTGTCTAGGTTTGTCATCGCCTTTCTCCCAAGGAGCAGGCGTCTTTTAATTTCGTGACTGCTGTCACCATCTGCAATGATCATGGAGCCCAAGAAAGTAAAATCTCTCACTGCCTCCATTTCTTCCCCATCTATTTCCAGGAGGTGAAGGGCCCAGTGGCCATGATCTTCGTTTTTTTGATGTTGAGCTTCAGATCATATTTTGCGCTCTCCTCTTTCACCCTCATTAAAAGGTTCTTTAATTCCTCTTCACTTTCTGCCATCAAGGTTGTGTCATCTGCATATCTGAGGTTGTTGATATTTCTTCCGGCAATCTTAATTCCGGCTTGGGATTCATCCAGCCCAGCCTTTCGCATGATGAATTCTGCATATAAGTTAAATAAGCAGGGAGACAATATACAGCCTTGCCGTACTCCTTTCCAATTTGGAACCAATCAGTTGTTCCATATCCAGTTCTAACTGTAGCTTCTTGTCCCACATAGAGATTTCTCAGGATGAGGTGATCAGGCACTCCCATTTCTTTAAGAACTTGCCATAGTTTGCTGTGGTCAACACAGTCAAAGGCTTTTGCATAGTCAATGAAGCAGAAGTAGATGTCTTTCTGGAACTCTCTAGCTTTCTCCATAATCCAGCGCATGTTTTCAGTTTGTCTCTGGTCCTCCTGCCTCTTCTAAATCCAGCTTGCACTTCTGGGAGTTCTCGGTCAATCTCTGGACCGTTCTCTGTCCTGGTCTTGCTTTCAGATGGGACTGTTGACATTACAAAAAGATATCCTTGCATCTGTTCACTGGACTGCATACACAATCATCTGTATTTAATTCTTTTTAAAGGTTATGGGTTATATTTTGTGGAGTGGGACTTGGGAGGTAAGAGAGGAGCTCAACCTTAGGGGCATTACCTGTATTTTGGCATTACCTGTGCTATGTTTCCAGAAAAAGAGGTGCTGGAACTGAGTTCACAGGATTTTCACAGGAAAGCAAGGGAGCAATTCATAATGGACAGTTACAATCTTGATTGGTTCCCTCATTTGTGGTTAGTAGAGAGGATTAAACTGGATAAAAAAATTATGGTATAGAGCAAGAAAGGACAGACTTTGAAACTCCACAGTACACAAATGATGCGAAATGTATAAACCATTGCTGAAATTTGAGACTGAAGAACATGTGAAAGAATGCATGATTAAAGAAAGGGGCACAAACTCTGGTTATAATATACGGAAAGAACAGTGGGAACCTATGTGGACTAAGGAGTTAAAATTTACATTTTCTTATGATCTCAAAGAGATTTTTCTTAAAGTGATGTCGCTGGTATTTAACTCCTGGAAAACTTTTCAGAATGTACAAAGATGTTTCAAATGTTTGCTGGGAATGCCAAGAACACAAAGGGACATTTTATCATGCTGGACGGACATGTAAAAAGGCAAAAATATATATTGCATTCAAATACATACATCGATACAGCAGATTTTAAAAGTTAATATTCAGTTGAAACCAGGACACTTTTTGGACACACAATTAGAAAAGGATTATGGAAGATTACTTCAATATAGGATTACATCAGTGAAATTGCTATATACACAAAGATGCAAAGATACAGTCTGACCCAGGAATGGCTGATGAAACTATAGGGGTTGGCTCAAATGACAAAGTTAACATGCTTAATTAGAGACAAATCATCACTGACAGTTATTAGGGATTTCCATTTCTTGTGGAGTTTCCGTGTGAAAGAGAAAAGGAACTTGTAATATCTGGATTTACTGGTTTAGAGAACACTTGGATCTGAATGAGTGAATAATGTGTTTTGCTGCAGGACAGAGCGTCAGAAATCCTTTAATCTTTTCCCCCTTCCATTAATCTTTTCCTCTCTTTCTCTTCTTTTGTCCTAAGACAAAAAAGGGTTAAAGCACCATTAACAAGCCTAGCAAGAGGGGTGTTGTTACTCCTTGGGAATTGGATCTGCTTCCGCATATTGTTGAATATCCCTCCAAACCCTCCGTTTACACCAGTCCAGGTATTGACACTGGTACGTCCTTCAAAGGAGGAGGGGAATGATACCTGGGAGGCATGACAATACCTGAAAGCCATAACCCGGAAGTTGGCACATCACACACCCAGCTGAGTACCAGGTTGGCATAACTTCGTTCCCACAGTCACCACCACAAAGCATCCAGAGTTGCTGAAACAGCAAAATGTTTCCCCAGTTGCAACCTCAAGACCACTTACGCCTGGCCTGAGCTCAAGATAAGGGTCAGAAAGCAACTGCCCTGTAGACAAGGAGAAGAAATTCCTGACTTCTGCATGTCTTCTCCATGCACACATTTGTGTGTTTCCTACAGTTGTATAAAAGCTTTATGCACTCTTTGTTTTGGGTTCTTTTGGAGATATCAAAACAAAGACTCACTCCTGCACCTTTGAATGACCACTTTTTAACTTGCCACCTGGTGTCTCTCCATTGATTGGAAGAGGGACGGCATTTTTGGCATTTTGGGGGTGAGGCTGGGGTTCTTGTGCCAAAGGCCCAATGCCAGAAGGGTGACCCAAGGTCCCGGAAAATTATCTTTTGTGGGTACGAACCTGGGACAAAGGGGTGGAGATTTGCCTATTCAGAAGGCGATCAGTCAAGGGTTTTAGTCAGCAGGAGTGCTGAGTTCTGTGAGAAGAGTGGGTGGACACGCATCCATGGGAACCCTGACGTTCTCTCAGAGAGTCTGTTTGATTCTGCTGAGGAGGGAGAGGTTGACACTGAACCTGCTGCTGAGGATCAGGTCTCTGACCAGGAGCAGGAACAGGGAAGGGCATCTCCACAGGCTATCAAGAGAGAGCCAAAAAGTGAGCCTTCATCTCCCACCAGTCCAGTGCAGAAGTTCAGAAGACGCAGTAAGTCAGAGGGGGAGTCCTCTGGTGACTTGGACGCACTAGCTGGCCCCAGTGGGTCAGAGGGGGCACCTGAAGTAGTGATCAGGCATTCCACATGCACTACTAAAGGGATATCTCCAGAGAGGTTCGAGGTCACTAGTGTGTGGGTTGGTTTGGCACAGTGCGAACCAGAGAGTTTTGAGGAAGTTCAACAATTGCCCGAAACAAAAGCCAGGAAATGGCAAGAGGCTATGGGAAAGGAATTGAACTCAATGAGGTCTCTAGATGTGTTCTCCACTACAAAGCTGCCAGCAGGCAAGCAGGCTGTGAGCTGTTGCTGGGTTTACAGGATTAAGCCCACAGCAACTGGAGAACCACAGTACAAGACTAGGCGAGTAGCCAGAGGTTTCACGCAGCGGAAGGGGTTGCATTACACCAAAGTGTATGCTCCTACTTCCCAGAGTGAAACTCTGCGCATGCTCTTAGCAGTAGCTGCACAAAGAGAGCACCAAGTGCACCACTTTGATGTGGATGTGGCTTATTTGAACTCAGACCTGAAGGAGGATCTGTACATGCTGCCTCCTCCAGGGTTTGAGGGCAATGAGCCAGATGTTGTGTGGAAACTGCACAAGTACATTTATGGCTTGAAAGAATCAGCCAGAAATTGGAACATGTGTATGAATGATGCTTTGGAAAGCATGGGTTTCCAGAGAAGTCTTGCAGACAGCTGCCTGTACCTGAAGGGGTCAGGAGAGACACAGGAGCTGGTCTTGGTGTTTGTGGATGACATCATACATGTGTCACAGACAGGGAAACAGGTGCAAGGTTTTGCCAAAGAGCTTGGGAAACATTTTAAGCTCAAAAACCTTGGCCCAGTAAAGGTTTACCTAGGAGTTCAGATAGACAGGTATGAGAACAGAAGTTTTTTGCTCAGTCAGAAAGGCAAGATTGAGCAGTTGCTTGAGAAGTTCAGGATGTCTGACTGTGCAGGGGTCAAAACGCCCATGGAGATGAGCTACGTGAAGGACAGTCAGCTTGGGGATCGTTCTGAGTTCCAAAACCCTGGTTGTTCAAAGAGCGCTGGGAGTCTGTTTGTATCTCTCCCAGTGGAGCAGACCTGACATAGCGTTTGCTGTGAACCCGCTCAGCCGGGTGGCTACAAAGCCCAGTGTGAGTGCCTGGCTTGGCATCAAGAGAGTGCTAAGGTATTTGCAGGATACCAAAGATTTTTGCCTCACGTTGTCAGCTGATGGTGACGCATGACTCACGTGCTGGACTGACAGCGATTGGGCAAATCTTGGAGACAGAAAATCGGTGTCTGGGATGGTAGTGAAGTTTGGGGAATCTCTAGTTGGGTGGAAGTCCCAAAAGCAAAGTCTTATTGCACTTTCCTCTACTGAAGCTGAGTTTGGTGTGTTGTCTGATTTGTGTAGGGAATTGGAGTTCTACCAGTGTTTGGTCCAAGAGATCTGTGGGGATTGTTGCTTGCTCATTACTGTTTGGGAAGACAACCAACCCTGCCTGAAGTTGGCAGAGTCAAGTCCAGAACCAAACATTTGGACATATGTCTCCAGAATGTGTGTCAAAGTGTCCAGGCAGGCTTGGTGCGGCTGAAGTACTGTCCAAGCCAGGAGAACCTGGCAGATGGGTTCACTAACCCCTTGAGCTTCCAGCATCATGGGGAGTTCTGTGAAGTGTTGTTTTGGGGTAAGTGGTTGTACTTACAGTTTCCCTCAGTATGTGGGACGAGAGGGTGTGTGAGGAAAATCAGAACTTGCAGGGTTAAACAGTTCTGTGCATCATCCCTGCCTACTGAGGTGTGGCTTGTTCACATACGGGAATGTTTCTTTGTGTGTGAGTTACTTTCGTTTCCCGCTGACAAACGGGAGGATGTTTGCTCTTTCTCCCGGATGATTTATTTTGCTATGCTGTACATAAATTAAAGCTTCTTAGATTAGGAAGAAGCTTGCGTACGGACTGTTATTTATTGCACCCACACAGGGCACATACCGCTGTTGCGAAACTCTGCTTGGAGCCAGGGGGAAGTCCAAAGGCTCAGAGGCACAGGGAAGAGTGCCGGATGCCAGTCTAACACAACACACACTCCTTATTTCTTCCACACTTCAGTTGGGCAAGAAGAAAAGGTCACCTGCTTGAGGATATACGTGAGACACTGACAAAAATGCCCCCCGGTCAAGTTTCCGTTGCTGCGTTGCTGAATGACAAGAACATTCTTCCAATCCTTGCCCGCATACTAATCAAAGTCTCCCCAAATTAAATCCTATATATACCTATTGCGATGACACTGGCCCTCTTAACCAATCTCTTTCCACATTCCATGCGCTGAGACGGCTTCTCGCTGCTGTGAGTTTTTTGATTGGGTGTGAGATTTTCCTTCTGACTGAAACTCCCTCCATATTCTTGGCACTGAAATAGTTTCTGCCCTCGGTGACTAATGTTATGTTGATGGAAGTGTGTGCTTTTATTAAAGCCTTTCCTACATTTCAAGCACTGATCTGCTTTCACTCTGTATGGATTTCTTCATTGGAAGCTAGACTCCTCTTGGAAGGGAAGCTGTTTCCCCATTTCTAACACGGTTCGTGCTGTGTATGAGTTTTTTGATGGACCATGAGACCTGCCCTCCTTCTGAAAGTCTTTCCACATTCTTGGCATCGAAATGGTATCTCCCCGCTGTGAATTGTTTGATGGGAATTCAGACCTTCTTTCCAACTGAAGTTCTTTCCACATTCCAAGCACTGGTAAGGTCTCTCCCCAGTATGGATTCTTTGATGGGAAGTGAGATTGTGGTTGTGACTGAAGCTCTTTCCACATTCCAAGCACTTATATGGTCTCTCCCCTGTATGAATCACCTGATGGGAAGTGAGATGGTTGGTCGTCCTGAAGCTCTTCCCACATTCCAAGCACTGATAAGGTTTCTCCCCTGTATGAATTTTTTGATGGGAAGTGAGACTCGCCTTCTGGCTGAAACTCTGTCCACATTCCAAGCACTCATACGGTTTCTCTCCTGTATGAATTATTTGATGGGAAGTGAGCTGCACCCTCTGACCGAAGCTCTTCCCACATTCCAAGCACTCATAGGGTTTCTCCCCTGTATGAATTCTTTGATGGGATGTGAGATTGGCTCTGTGACTGAAGCTCTTTCCGCATTCCAAGCACTGATATGGTTTCTCCCCTGTATGAATTCTCTGATGGGATGTGAGACTTACCTTATGATTGAAGCTCTTTCCACATTCTTGACATTTAAATGGTTTCTCCCCTGTATGAATTCTTTGATGGTAAGTGAGATAGGAGTTCCGACTGAAGCTCTTTCCACATTCCAAGCACTGAAATGGTTTCTGCCCTGTATGAATTCTTTGATGGAGCATGAGACCTTCCTTCCTTGTGAAGCTCTTTCCACATTCTGGACATCGAAATGGTATCTCCCCACTGTGAATTATTTGATGGGAAGTGAGCCTTGCCTTCTGAATGAAGCTCTGCCCGCATTCTAAGCACTTATATGGTTTCTCCCCTGTATGAATCATTTGATGGGAAGTGAGATGGGAGCTGCGACTAAAGCTCTTTCCACACTCAAGGCATTGAAAAGGTTTCTCCCCTGTATGAATTATTTGGTGGGATGTGAGATTCACCCTCTGACTGAAACTCTTCCCACATTCCAAGCACTTATAGGGTTTCTCCCCACTGTGAGTTCTTTGATGGGCAACGAATTTCGTACTCTGACTGAAGCTCTTTCCACACTCTTGGCATTTAAAGGGTTTCTCCGCGAGATGAATTCTTTGATGTCGATGGAAGCTTGTGCTTCTGTTAAAGTTCTTCCCACATTCCAAGCATTGATAGGGATTCTCATCTGTATGAATTATTTGATGGGAATCAAGACTACTCTTCCACCTGAATCCCTTTCCACATTCCAAGCACTGATATGATTTCTCCTCACGGTGAATACTTTTATGTCGATGGAAGTTTGGTATTGTATTAAAGTTCTTCCCGCATTCCAAGCAGTGATAAGGTTTCTCTCCAGTATGAATTCTTTGATGGGAAGTGAGAGTGGCACTACGAGTGAAGATCTTCCCACATTCTGAGCACTGATAGCCTTTCTTCCCACTGTGCTTTCTTCGATGGGAACGGGAGCTCTGACTGAAGCTCTCTCCACACTTCCAATCTTGATATGTCTTCTCCACTGTGTGGATTCTGTTGTGGTCTCCCCCATTCTTCATTTCCAATCCATCACCAACTACAACGAAGAGAGAAACTAATTAGATCCTCAGGAAGAAACGTAGCCCCCAATTATTAGACAATGCTAATGAATGTTTGTGAAAGAGAAAGAATGGAAGATGTGGGGTCTTTCTACAGAGGTCATGACCTTTGTTGAACAGCATTCACAGTGTGATAGCCTGGGACTCTGGCTCGGACTTGGAGCCAGAGGAGTCTCAGTCCGCACGGGATCCTTTGCCTCAGGCAGCATCTGAACCAAGTCTGGGGCCTGATCCTGAAGAGTCCCAATCTGCACAGGTTCCTATGCAACAAACACCAGCTGGGCCAGGTCAGGGGCCTGAGTCTGCCCTGGCTCCAGATGCAGGGATTCCCTCGTTGCCTCCAGCTGGGCCATCACTTACAGCTGCTCCACTACCAGTTTGGTCAGGGGAGGCTGAGGCGGCCACTGGGTCTAGTAACCCACCAGCATCTCCTGAGCTGCAGAGGCTGAGGTCTGAGAGAAGGAGAGACCCAAGTACTCGCAGGAGGAGTGCTCGCCCTTGGGCAAGATAAGGAGGTGATTCACCAGGGGGTCAGGACCAGCCGCTACCCTGACAAAGATGAAAGGCTGTCGGACCCCACCCCAGATTGTGGGAGCAACATTGTTGTATGTCAGATCCTGTACCTGTCTTTGCCTGGTTTCCTGCCTTGGCCCTGTCGGACTGACTCACAGCGGAACCTTTGAATTCTGGACCGGTCCTGGACTGCGTTTCACTGGGTACCCCCGGGCCCAGCACAGACGGACATATTTATGGGAACCAGAGATTAAAAAAGTCTTGCTCTTTTCTAGGATGGATTTGCCACAATCATGAAATCTACTCCAACTCTAGCATTGGTCTTCTCTTTGAAAAATGGGCAGAGGCTAAAACAAAAACCTAAAACCTGACAGAAGTTACCTCAACTTCCCTAACAACTCTGTGTGTGAATGTTGCCTCTAAATCCTGTGGAAAGGGTGACTGGGATTCCAGGAGGCCCTTTTTTTCAGTTAGGTCTGTTCTCAACTGTCAACTGAGAGAGATTTTCTGTGAGAGCAGCTGCTGCTTGTTTTATGTTGCTATGTGCCTCAGAATAAGTCCATAAAGTCTCATATAGATAGAAGCACATGTAAGTCACTCTTAAGACTTAATGTAGCAGAATTATCTGATGTTGAATTATTTTGGGGTTTTGTGTGTAGCTTATTATGTCTTGAATAACGAATGGAATAAATGTATAAATAATCAAAATCAATATATATATATAAAACTGGTTATAAGCACATGTAAATGTGTCTTAGTATATCAAGTAATATAATGTGTTCTGCTTAAACTCTAAACAGAGAATCTTGCGCAGTCTTTCCTAGGAGAGAAAAAGAGCTATACAGTGGTGCCTCGCAAGACGAAATTAATTCGTTCCGCAAGTCTCTTCGTCTTGCGGTTTTTTCGTCTTGCGATGCACGGTTTCCCATAGGAATGCATTGAAAATCAATTAATGCGTTCCTAGGGAAACCGCCTTCAGACCAGGTCCGGGGACAGTCTGTCCCCAGACCTCGTCTGAAGGCTGGGGGGACGGGGACAAGGGCTTTTCTTCCCACCCCCAGCATTTTAAAAAAACCCCGGGACAGCGGAGGACTTCTCCGCTGTCCGGGCGATCTTAAAATGCTGGCGGGCGGCATTTTAAAATCGCCCCGGGACAGCGGAGGACTTTAAAAGCCCCTGGGAAGGCAGGCAGGGGGGACAAAGACTTTCGCCCCCCGCCAGCCTTCAGAAGAGGTCCTGGACCTCTTCTGAAGGCGGGCGGGGGGCAAAAGTCTTTGCTCCCCCCCGCCTGCCTTCAAAAGCCCTCCGGGACAGGCAGGCAGGGGGGGAGCAAAGACTTTCGCCCCCGCCTGCCTTCAGAAGGTGTTCCCTCCCCCCGCCCGGCTTCGGAGCACCGGGAGAAGCGATCTCCCCGCAGCCCCTTGCTTCAAAAGAGGTCCGGGGGCAGCGGGGAAGAAGCGCTGCGCTTCCCGCTGCCCCCGGACCTGGGGCTGCGGGGAGAAGATCGCTTCTCCCCGCCGCCCCTTGCTTCAAAAGAGAAGACCCGCTGTCCCCAGGGCAAGCTTCGTTTTGCGAAGCAAGCCCATAGGGAAATTCGTCTTGCTTCCTTTCGTTTTGCGAGTTTTTCGTCTCGCGAGGCGTTCGTCTTGCGGGGTACCACTGTATTTTTTTAAAGGGTCAGACAACCTGGGGCAGCCTCCATGCATATAAACACAGCAGAAAAAGGGTTCTCCCTCAGACACTGATGTTAATATTTTGACCACTTGATGCCACCGTTCTCTTAATTATTCTCTCAAAAACAATTTTTAAAAGCAGATTAAAAAGAAGAAAGATTTTTTTAGGATGGTTAGAGGAAATTTTACAGTGGAATAGGAGACGTGGGTGGCGCTGTGGGCTGCACCACAGAGCCTAGGACTTGCCGATCAGAAGGTTGGCAGTTTGAATCCCCGCAATCCAAATTTAACACTCTGAATTAACAAAGGAATGCAATGAAAGAAGAGAAGATTCTTCAATCAAATTCTCTAACTCAAGCTTCGTTTCTCAGAGAAGTAACAAGAGCATTCATAAGAAGATTATTTTCTACAACTGTAATAAAGGCAAAGGACCCCTGGATGGTTAAGTCCAGTCAAAGGCGATTGTGGGGTTGCGGCACTCATCTGGCTTTCAGGACCAGGGAGCCGGCGTTTGTCCAGGTCATGTGGCCAGCAGGACTAAACCTCTTCTGGTGCAACAGGACACCGTGATGGAAACAAGAGCACACGGAAACACCATTTACCTTCCTGCTGCAGTGGTACCTATTTATCTACTTGAACTGGTGTGCTTTCGAACTGCTAGGTTGGCAAGAGCTGGGACAGAGCAACGGGAGCTCACCCCGTCGTGGGGATTCGAACTGCTGACCTTCTGATTGGCAAGCCCAAGAGGCTCAGTGGTTTAAACCCCAATGCCAGCTGCGCTCTTGCAGCTGTAATAAGGAGGGACATACAGCCAAGTTTTGCAGAGCTCCAAAGGTGAAGAAATCTCAAAGTAAGCAATCAAACCGCAACCGAGCCAGAAGATACCGTTATCTCATTCCACACGAAATGAGTCTGTCAGATGAGAAGTCAGGTTGGTTGACTCAGGAGCATGTCCATGCATCACAATGTAAAATTCATTGGTGGTATGAGAAATCTTAACTGTTGATGGTGAAATTTTAATAGCTAATGGTAAAACTGTAAAAATATGGGGTAAGGTTCGGGATATTTAAACTGCAAATTGGGAAACGAAGTAAAGCAAATCAGTGTAAGATGTTCTTTATGTATCGCATATATAAGTTGTAATATTCTGAATCAAAGAACATTTAAGAGTCAAACGACCTGGGGCAACTTCTGTGCATATAAATACCACACTGTGAAGCCGACATTTAAGAAGGCCTGGTTAGTTCAGACCAGCTTGGTCATTGTTTAAAAAGGCATAAGTGGAGGAAGAATATTCACAGAGAAAACAGTTGATGCCCCTCCATTCAGCTGCATCAAAATATTGGTGGTTCGTCGCATAGAGCAACGCATGGAATTTTCAAAACAGATCTTATGATCCAGCAGGGAGCCTTACGGAGAGAGTCCAGGATCCCACGATTCTCCTCCATGACTTCCTTATGCAGAGCTTTCTGGTCAGGATCCAGCAACGCCCATTCCTGGTATGTGAAACGAACAGCGACATCTTCAAAGCACACCGGACCCTAAAAGAAAGAGGGAAATGTCCTCCTCTTAGACAACATAAAGATTGCTCTGTTGTGATCATGTTTGAATGGGATTGTTTTCCGCACATGTTAAATATGGATGCTTATTTTAACATCTTAGTGGAACTCCTTTATTGTGTATTTAAATTATAAGTATTCATCCTTGTGGGGTGTGTGGGGTGATAGTACCCTTGGTGGGGGACACATCCTGCTCCTTCTGGGATGGTTTGTCCATGTTTGGTCCCCATCCTGCACTCCGCTCTCACCTGTGGCTCCTAGAAGCTGTCAGCATGAGACAGCGGCCACAATCCTGGGAACGGCTTTGACTGACCAGCTAAACCAGGTGAAGGGAACCAATGGGTCTTAAACCCTCAATGAGTCAGGGACTCCCCCGTCCATGCTAAGACTAGTTTCAGCACATTGAGCAGAGTAGGTCCCACAGTCAAATTGGTGGTTGCTCCCTGTTCTTCAGAGGAAAGAGAGGAGCAGATGGGGTTCATCCACCTGGTAAGGGAGCCCACTAAGAGAAGGAAAACTTCGATGCTAAACCTCCTCTGCCTTGTGGAGAAGAAAAGGCTTTGGGAGAAGAAAAGGCTATGGAGTGAAGCCAACACAAATCTGGAATGGAGTCCCTAAGGCGGTTGGATGGAGCCTTCTACACCTGCTTCCAGCAACTCCTACAGCCCAGGTATGCTTTCCTTTGGATGACATCAGAGAGGCCAAGAGTGGGGTTTTGTCATCTGGGCAGCCCAGGACCTCCATCCACACTGCCCAGGCCTTGTGCCCCAAGGAGGTCACTTTACTGGTCTCTGCAGCCACAGCGAAGGCTGTGATTCTCCAAGAGTTTGACTTCACCCCCGGAGGCGCACTCCATTGTCTCTCGAGACAGAATGAGGCCAACAACAGCAACTCACCTTTCTGCAAATAGGTGGGGCGCCAAAATATGCAGCTGAGTTAGATGAATCCTGGCACCTTTTTATGGTTGTCAGCTGCATCCAGAAAATTCAATACATGTATGGAAATCGTGAAGAGCCACTTTGACAGAAGCCAAGAAAAGGAGAGAGGTGTGTTCGGCTCAAAGGCCCCCTGGCTGCCCCACCCCTCGGCCTCCTTCCCCACACGTCTCC